GGGCGCCGTCTCGCGGGGCCGCTGTGCCGCGGGGTGGCTTCCGGCCTGCGCCCGCCTCCAGAGCGAGGCTGCCCATTGGGCTACCCGTCCGACTGGCCGGGACCGAGGTGCCTTTGGGGCGGGCGGGCTGAAGTCATCCCCAAGGCTGGCTGCACTCCCTTGGCCTGCACGTGGGCTGGCGTGCACCCCGGTACCCCTTCCCTCCTGGGCAAGGGGCCTGAGCTCGTGGTTAGGAGTCCCCACTGCCCTGGAAGACTGAGACTAATGGGTATTGATGAGGAGGCCAGGCATGCAGGCGAAGGAAAGCAGCTTCTTGCCCCTCTTGTGATCCAGATGGGGCAAGATAGGACTGGACATTGAAGAAGATTTCCAGACCAGGGGACTGAATCAGCCTTTTTTTGACCCTCAGCCTTCCACAGGGCATAGCCGTGGACTGCTTTGGAAACTTAAAAATCCACAATAACTTAAATGACCCGCTCAGTTTTTTTTTAATGAGGTAAGGGAATGAAAGGGGTGCTCAAACCTGACGCTTCTCAGAGGGTTATTCTGCTAACTCCCGTTCTGGTAAGAAGTCCTTGAGTGATACTGGGTCAGAACGACCACACTGAAAAGCTTCAGATGGGGATGGTAAGGGTTAGTTGTTCTCTAGCTGTCTCCAGATGGAAGCCTCAGTTTTTGCCCCAGGCACAAAGTAGATACTAGTACAAAAACTTCCTGTTTGCAGGCCAGACCTTCTCTGGCTACTGAGAACATGCTCCAGTGCTGGATCCCCAAAGGAATTTGCGGATGCCTCTACTACAAATATCCAGAAACAGAAGTGTTAATAGAGTTCAGAGTGAGAGTAGCGGTCCTAACAGGTGGACTAGAGTTAAAGGCAAAGGGCTATGAACAACAAAAAACTGAACCAACCTATTTTAACCCCAAGGGTTACTTAACACTTTTGAATCATAAGTTATATTTCTGTAATTTTCCAAATTCAAAGTTATTCGATGAACTTTGTTTAAGGCTTTTCTACTAGGTGCTTATCACACATACACCCTCCTTCAATTATGTGTGACTAAAGCTAGGCTCTCTTCTGGTCTAGAAGCTCCCAGTCCATTAATGATGATGGTGTTGATAAGGAGCAAGGCCACGGTGAATGAACAGGGTGTCTCTCAAGAAACTGTGAAGAGTATGGTGTATGTGTGTGTGTGTTGACAAGCAAATTAGCTGGATGAAAAGATGTTTGTGGAAAGTACTTGTTAGTGAAAACATAGAGAAGGATTCCTCTAGCTTTTACACAAGAGCCAGAAAGCTGGGAGTTTGTGTTTTGCTTTGTTTGAAAAGGGAATTGTGAAAGAAAGGCAGTGATATATATAGATATAGATATTAAATATAGATATAATAGGTCCTTTGGGAAATTCAAAGTAAAGGCCAACTGCTGATAGGATTTGGTTGGGGTCAGGAGACTGACGGATCAAGATACTTAGATGGATTTTAGTAACATCTTGCTGGCAGAAACAACATTGGGGTGAAAATCAAGAGAACTGTATTCTAAGCTCATCTACCAAGTTTATGTGACCTCAAGCAAGTTACCTGATCTAATTTTTAATTTTTGCCTAAAAGATTTTAAGTCCTCTCTTGCTAAAAAATGTTATGATTCCTCAGTGGATTTGCAGTCATGAATCTCCGAGCAATTACTCAACAGAATATTGAACTACCAAATGCTGGAAAATTGGTGCTGTTCTTACTGAATTCAACAGGTAGTGCCACAGCTAGAAATTCAGGCTACAGAAGAAGTATTGCATATACGAGGTGAACAGAATAAAAATGGAGCATTATTAATCGTAAAATGATAATTAGTAATGGAATTGTTCATTCAGCTTTGGGTTATGGGTTTTGGGGTCAGAAAAAGTAATGACCTGGATCTGAAGGGATCAATAGGTAGTAACATGGGCAATACCCTTGGGAAAGTACTAGGACATAATAGGTACCAACTACATTTACATAGATTATTAAAGTTATCGCTGAGGGAATGAAAGCTTCAGTAGGTTAGAGAGAGCAGAGGCCTGCTCCCACACTATCAGTATTCACCTGACTACCACACTATCAGTATTCACCTGACTAAGGGGGAAATCCTTTCCAACTCACTGTTCTCCTCTAAGGTAATATGACATCACCACCTTGACCAGAAACAAACTGTAGGAAGTCATTTCATTTTTACTGTAAGATTCTTCTGTTAGTGTGTATACCTCAAGGGCACCCAGAGACTCCTGAACTTGCTCACTCTAAAGGGGTCCAGCTGTCCTTGTGCACTAAAGCAAAGCAGACTCTTAATGTGCAAGAACTGTAAGTGAATGTGCATAGAGAGAGAAGAAAGGATTTAGTGTCCCTATAAAACACCCAAAATTACTCCTCGTGAGTAAATGTCCAGCCAAACAGGGTCAGCCTGAAATGGGGCCACTGATGCCTGAAATCTTGCCACAAATTGAAGGCACTTGCTGGAAGAGACCTACAAGAATGGGGTTCTGAAGCAGGTCCCAATAAGCTGGAACCAAAGGAAAGACCACATCAAGGTAAGGCATGCCTTATCTTGGGTCAGACTTCCTACATCTCTCTTCAGTGTCTTTTTATGTCTGTCCTCCACTTTTCTCCTTCCACATCTCCTGCCAGCAATATCAGGATGCGAGTCTGGCCTCAAATCATGAGGAATTTCCTCCCTTTTCCACAGGGAGCTCCCCTGCCTTGTGTGTTACGTATCTTCACCTGGCATCTCGGTCCCATCCCTTGTTTAGTGGGGGCAGGGAACACAGGATCTCCCCTTTTTATAGAGATGCTTCTGTAACACTTCTTCACAGACACTCTTTTTAAAAGTTCTCTCTTGTTTTCACTGCCTACTCTGGAAATTAGGGGTCATGTTTTATAGACACTCCTGAGTACATACAAATTGGACTAATGCAAATTACTTAATAATGTAATAAAAATTTTCCCATATGGTCCCTCAAAATAGTACCACAGCAGACAACTAGCTACCACAGAGTAACCTCTCACAATCTACTGTATTTTTCCTGGAACAGGAGTCCTCTCAGCTTCTCACTCACAACCCTGAGAGAAAGAAGGGGAAAGATACTAAATCAAATTGCCACAATTACCTCCTCCCTACTTCCTCAAAAGTTGTGACCAAAAAGCACCTGTTATAAGACCAGACAAATCAGGCCCAGAATCCTGTAGCCCTCTGTGTTTTGGCAGGTGCTTCTCTATGGGTCTATGTGCTGTGTACATATACATACATAAGTATATGTATATATATATATATATATACATAAGTATATGTATATGTATATACATAAGTATATGTATATGTATATACATAAATATATGTATATGTATATATAACCAAGAGTTAATAGGAATCTATCACTTGAGTTCCCTAATAAGTTTCTGTGATTAATAAACTAACTTGACGCTACTAAACAGGATAAAGCTACAGCTCTTTTTTTAATAACCCACCATACCCAGCAACAGACCTCACACACAATAGATTAGAATAAATACTAATAACACTTACTAATTTGCTTTGTTGATTTCAGAGTGCTTTTGTTTGTTTCCTTCCACTCAGTTATCTCTTCATTTAATTCTTCTCCCTTTCTCCCATCTTTTAGATGTTTTCCACATGTTGCCCAGTATCCTCTGTGTTCTAACTTTAAGATGTTCTCTTTCTACTTATAAACAAGATTGGCTTACTAGTAAGTCATTTCTTGGCCCAACCTTGCTTTAAGAAGCCTTTGTTGCTATTTGCCACAGTTGCTCTAGAACCCCACAGTCCCTTGCACTACTGGGCAGTGTTCCTTGTGTCTCTGCATGGTGTCATGAATGGAAAGCCTGCCAGTGTCAGACCCTGGGCTGGGCTCTGGAAGCGGAAGGTGTGTACACCACCTCTTGACTTCAAGGACTATACACACAACTCAGTGATCATTTGCTGATTTTCTCTTCTATGTTAGCTCTGAGGGAGGGTAAATACCAAAAAGAATGTATCCATAAACATCTACACATGAAACGAACCTTTGCAGAATAAAAGACAAGAGAAAAAATTTTAAAG